CATTTGGAAAACTAAGAGTCCCAGAATAGCCAAAGCAATCCTAGTGAGAACAGCAAGCACCATAATACCAGACTTAAATTATACTATGGAGCTAAAATAACAAAAATGGCACGGTATTGGCACCACAACAGACCTGAAGACCAATGGAACAGAATATAAGCCACAGATACAAACCCATATAAATACAGTTATCTCATACTAGACAAAGGTGTCACAGACATACATTGGAGAAAAGATAGCCTCTTCAGCAAATGGTGCTAAGAAAACTGGAAATCCATATGTAGCAGAATGAAATTTAACCTCTACCTCTCACCCTGCACAAAATTCAACTCAAGTGGATCAAGAACCTAGGTAGGCATTAGACCAGAAGGCCTGTGACTACTAGAAGAAAATGTGGGCACAACTCTCCATCATGTTGGCTTAGGAACTGACTTCCTCAACAAGACTCCTAAAGCATAAGAAATTAAAAAAAAAAAAATCAAGAATCAATAAATGGGGTCTGGGATTGCAGTTCAGTGGTAGAGTGCTTGCCCAGCACACGTGAGGCACTGGGTTCAATCCTCAGCACCACATAAAAATAAATAAATAGAATAAAAAGTTATTATAAGAAAACAATCAATAAATGGGACAATATAAAACTTAAAAGCTTTTTAAAATTTGTTATAATTAGTTATACATGACAGCAGACTGCATTTCAATTCATTGCACACAAATGGAGCAAAACTTTTCATTTCTCTGGTGATACAGGATGTAGTTGCACCATAGTGTAGTCATACACATACCTAGCATAATGATGTTCATCTCATTACACCATCTTTCCTGCACCCATGCTTCCTCCCATTCCCTCCCTCCCCTTTGCCCAACGTTCCTCCATTCTCGGCGTCCCCCACACCCCATTATGGACCAACATCCACTTATCAAGACAACATCTGGCCTTTGGTGTTTGGAGATTGACTTACTTCACTTTGCATGATATTCTCCAACTCCATCCATTTACCTGCAAATGCCATAATTTATTCTCTTTTAATTCTGAATAATATTCCATTGTGTATATATACCATTCTTTATCCATTCATCTGTTGAAGGGTATCTAGGTTGGTTCCATAGTTTAGCCACTGTGAATTGAGCTGCTATGAACATTAATGTGGCTGTGTCACTATAGTATGTTGATTTTAAGTCCTTTGGGTATAGACTGAGGAGTGAGATCACTGGGTCAAATGGTGGTTCCTTCCAAGTTTTCCGAGGAATCACCATACTGCATTCCATAGTGGTTGCACCAATTTGCAGTGCCATCAGAAATGTATGAGTGCACCTCTAAAAAGCTTTCTCATAGCAAAGGAAACAATCAAGAATGTGAAGAGAGAGCCTAGAGAATGGCAGAAAATCTTTGCCATCTGCACCTCCGATAGAGCATTAATCTCCAGAACATACAAAGAACTCAAAAAACTTAACACCAAAAAAACAACCCAATCGATAAAAGTGCAAAGGAACTGAACAGGCATAACACAGAAGAAATATGAATGGTCAAATGGTATATTAGAAAAACATTCAACATCTCTAGCATTAGAGAAATGCAAATTAAAACTACAATAAGATTTCATCTCACTCCAGTCAGAATGGCAATTATCAAGAATACAAGTAACAATAAACATTGGTGAGGCTGTGGGGGGAAAGGTACACTTCACACATTGCTGGGGGGAATACATATTGGTGCAACCACTCTGAAAAGCAGTATGGAGATTCCTCAGAAAACTTGGAATGGAACCACCATTTGACCCAGTTATCCCGCTCCTCAGTCTATACAGCCACATCAATGTTTATAACAGCTCAATTTACAACAGCTAAGGAAACAACCCCTTCAACAGATGAATGGATTAAAAAAAAGTAGTATATATACACAATGGAATATTACTCAGCCATAAAGAAGAATGAAATTACGGCATTTGCTGGTAAATGGATGGATCTGGAGACTATCATGCTAAGTGAAATAAACCAATCCCAAAAAACCAAAGGCCAAATGTTCTCAGATGTGTGGGTACTAACACACAATGGTGGAGGGTTGGGGAGAAGGGAGAACAGAAGTTCACTGGATTAGAAGGGAGAATACAAGTTCACTGGATAAAGGTGAATGAAGGAAAGGGAGAGAGGATATGAATCAGAAAGACAGTAGAATGAATTGGACATACACTTCCTATATTACCATATGAATATATGACCAGTGAAATTCTACATCATGTACAAGTTTAAGAATGGGATCCTAGGGCTGGGGTTGTGGGTCAGAGGTAGAGCACTCCCCTATCATGTGTGAGGACCTGGGTTCGATCCTCAGTACCACATATAAATAAATAAAATAAAGATATTAAACAAAAATGGGATCTCAATTAGAATAAGTCATACTCCATGTATGTATATAAAAATACAGTCTACTGTACATCTAAAAACAAATGAGAGAGGACAAAAACAGTGGCCATATTTCAAATAATCTCAAGAATTCCTTGGGGATGGTCACCTTCTAGCCCATTTGTATATAGCCATTGTATTTCTTCTGTTAAAAAAAAAAATATTACATTTTCCTCAAACATTAAAATGAAAAGCAGCAGTCTGGCCATTTCTCCTTATCTGCCTGTGCTTACATTATCATATGTATTATTTTTAATCCATGGTTTCTTTTAAATACTAGTAAAGTGTTTGTTTGTTTGTTTTTCAGATAATACATAAATAGGAATTCTAAGATTTTTTTCCCTCCTTATATTATGGGATCATTTTGTGTGCTCTCCTTTGAAGATCCCTGCTTTAAATAATGTGTTATCCTTTATCTGTCTTGTAGAAGCCACTACTCCTCTACGGATGTGTTCTTATTGGTTTTTTTGTGGTTGTTTTGTTGTTGCTGTTTTTCCATCTCTGGTACCTACACAGAAAACTCCCTAATTCCATATGTCACCTCCCAAATTAAGAATATATTGCTCCAAATTTAAATAATCCCTTACATCAATTTTATGATCTTTCAAGATTTCTACAGAAAAATTAAATTACCTGAAGGATTTACTATGTAAGACCTCATTTAGACTGTTTAAAAAAACTAAATATCATTTATAAAGTCATTTATGCTATAATTCCACTAAATAGAACTGTGGACTATATCTATGCATTACCTCTCTAAAGTATTTTTAGAGTTGTTTACCATAAAAATTGCATAAAAGCTGAAATAATCAAAATATTAAGAAAACACCACCAATTTTTATTTCTCAATTACTAAAGCTTAGTTAAGTTACAAGCTATAAATTCTATTTGGGTACAGTTCTTTTAAAATTTTAAATTTAGTTTTCTATTAGCAAATAAAACTGCCATATATGGACATACTTCTTAATTGTTAACATTGATTTAAAATGTTCAAAATAGTACTGGATAATTAACTATACAAGTAGAGAATGTAAGAGAAGCCAATGACTGGGTTAAGTATATTTGCCTATAGTTTTACAATACTTTGAAAATAAACAGATCCCAAATAAAAGCCAATTTTAAAAAATAGGAAAAAGCTTTAAAAGATAGCATAGAGGTAAAACATATATAAGTCTGTCTACAAGTGAAACAAAGTCTCTGCTTTGCAACCATTGAACCAAGGGAGAAAAGGATCAATAGGGAAAGGACCTCTAAAAGACAAGTCTTAGAACAATTAAAATATCATCATGTAATCATATGGTGAGGGTTTCCTTTTTACCTCAGTAAATCTACAGGCTATAAATAATATTTCATGTTGTCAGATTTAAGTATTAAAAATAATACTTAAATACAACATTCTTTTTTTAAGGTAAATTTTGCTTAACTGATTTAATGGAACATCTGGATTTTCAACTGCAATGTATTAAGAAATTACATAAATATGAGCCTGGTACAGTGGTGCACATTAATAATCCCAGCTACTTAAGAGGCTGAGATAAGAAGATCACAAGTTTAAAGTCAGGGGTGCTGTAGCTGTAGCTCAGTGGCAGAGCACTTGCCTAGTATGGGTTCGATCCTTAGCACCACACAAAACTAATTAAAAGTATTCTGTCTACAACAAAAAATTTAAAAAACAAACAAAAAAAAGACCCTGTCATAAAATTTTAAAAGGGCTGAGAATGTAGCTCAGTAGTAAAAGCACCTGTTGGTTCAATCCCTAGCACCAAAATGAATTTTTTTTAAAAAAAGAATAATGTGAATATCAAACTATATACACTAAAAGCTGAACATTTCAAATTTTGAAAGAAAACAAACTAATTTAGCAACATTCACATAAAAATACTAAAAAGGCAAAGTAAATAGTAAGAGATCCAAACAATATTCATACTTGAAAAGTTAAAATATTCAAATAATGTTCATTTTAAATTCTGTAATCTTGATGGATATTTTACTGGAGTCATCTTTAAGCAGAACCCCAAACACAACATCTATTATAAAGAAGCAAAGTAACCTCGATCATAAAGTTGGTCCTCTAACTGAATCCACTGATATCAGATCACCATGTAAAAGTTTATTTTTCATTGTTAGATATCACTTTTCAATCAAGCAATTGAATAGATTCATTTCTCAGAATGATTTAAATATATTCAGAAACAATAAATGTTAAAACCAAAAAAAGAAATTAAAAAAAATGAACTTTAACCTGGTGCATAAAAGGTACTGAATTGCTGACTGAATTATCATTCTTATTTGTACAGTACTTTGGAATTTACAGTGTTTTCACATATACTACCAAATGTCACCCACAAAACCTTACTGACGGTGAGGACATTTTACAAATGTGAAAAGTAGATTTCTGAAATTAAGAAATTCACCCAATATTTTCACTCCAAAAATCATTTTCTTGCTACTGTAATACATCATTATTTAGTTAAATTTAGTGATTAATGTTTACTAGTAAACAGTGGTTCCAAATCTTTCATTTTGATACATAAGGAAACTGATGATGTTTAAGTGACTTGTCCACAGCTAATAACTAAAATAGGATGGGATTAAATTACCTCTTAAAGTTTCTACTGGTTCTCTATTCTAAGTATCCAAATGTGTAATTGTTGTGAATAATGGTATGTCTTTCACCAGAGAAGAAATGCAAGGCTGAAAAAAAAAAAAATCTGTTGGTCACTTGGAAACTTTAACAATCAGCACAAATTCAAAAATCTCAAAATTAGAAATTGCCCAATTCAAACACACATTCAGAGCTTTAACTGATTATAACATTCCTGGTAAGACATCATTCTGCCTTTCTTTAATGGTCATTCCATTAAAAGGTCAAAACAAGAAGTATCAGAAAAGATGGTTGGGAAAGGAGGAATAATTTCTACAAAAGGAATAACTTCTACAAAATAAAGTACAAAGTTCTTAAATTAAAATATAAGAATCAAAGTCTTACATGTTCAAAGGCAATACCAGCTGGTCTCCACTGGTTTACTATGAGCCAGTTTAAAAAAAAAAAAAAACTCAATTATGGGAAAGGTTGGGGAAAGGATAAAGACAACCAAAAAAGTGAAAATAAGCAGTTATTCTGAAAATATTCATGGATTAGAAATAAAAGACTACTAAGTCATCCAAAGGGGCACTTCATTATCTCTTGACTATTCTCTCCACCTTTAGCACTGTTCTTATTTCAGATTACTAGTTGAGTCCAACTTCTTCATTTCTTTACCTTCTTCTCTCACTTCATTTTCCAACACATTCCTGCTGACCAGAGTTTCTGTGAAATGAATCATTCCATTAGTGGTGTGCCCTAAATTAAACCTTACTATTGCAAGGCTAAACTCAAGGAAGCTCTTATTATGTTTCCTTCAGTCATTCTCTTTCTGATTTTGTAAAATATTTATCGTATTTACTTAGGAATATTAGGAACATTTTCTAAAGCTGGCATCAGCACAATCTTAAATGGCCACACTATGTAGTTTAACTCAAATGAATTATGTGTTGCCCCAACATTCTACTATTATAGTAATGTGAGTTAATATTACCTTTACCCAATCCTTACTTTTATCTATACAATATCTTTAATGTAACTTAAAAAGTAACTGTCAAAAAAAAAAATAATGTCCAAAGTGTTCTTGTGTTGTTTTGTTTTTGGTACCAGCTATTGAACTCAGGGGCACTCAACCATTGGGCCACATCTGTATTTTATTCAGAAGCAGGGTCTCACTGAATTGCTTGGTGCCTTGCCATTGCTGAGGCTGACTTTGAACTCCAGATTTTCCTGCCTTGGCCTCCCAAGCATGCGCCACTATGCCTGGCTAAAACATGTCCAAAGTTTTTTAGAAATCACTATTTAATATTTAAATTTTGTTCTTCTTGTTACTTTTATACAGCCTTGCATCCAAATGAAGCTCAAAAAAAGCACTCTGGTAAAGAACCAAAGAACACTATCATTTAAAGACAACTTCCTTCACTAAAAAGTAGAATAATGACTTTGCTGTCCTAGTTTGGGCTTACTCTATGGCTCTGATTTTCTGCCAATGTTTCTCCAGCACTTCTGCATACCAAAACTACTACTGAAAACATTCGCAAAAATCTAACACAACTGATTTGTCTCCCTCCTTATTCATATGGACTGCAGAAACTTTTTTTTTTAAATCTCATGGAGCTGAGAAACTAGCTACAATTCAAAGTCAATCAATATCTACTTCAAAGTCAGCTGAAGTATATTAATAGACTTTTTCAAAAAAATCGACTTGATTATTTTCATTATTTTTCTCACTTTTTAAATGTTTTTTTTAGTTGTAGATGGTCACAATACCTTTATTTTTATGTGGTGCTAAGGATTGAAACCAGTGCCTCATACATGAGAGGCAAGCGCTCCACCCTTTTCTTGCTTTTTGAAAGAGAGATTAAAAGTTGTACATTTGGGAAACTCAGATATCCTTTAAACTCTTTAATTAATTTTGTTTTTTGTTTGTTTGTATTTTTGGTAGCAGGGATTGAACTCAGGGGAACTCAACAACTGAGCCACATTCCCAGCCCTGTTTGTATTGTATTTAGAGACTGGGTCTCACTGAGTTGCTTAGCACCTCGCTAAATTGCTAAGGCTGACTTTGAACTCACCTCCTCTTCAGCCTCCCACTGGGATTACAGGCCTGCACTATGGCACCTGCTTAAATAAATTTTAAATTAAGCTCATGGTGACTTCAAATGATCCCTACAACTTTTTTTTTTTTAAACTATTCTCCTTCATTCTGCCTCATCAACTAGCTCCCACTGTCCTCTCTATTGTGTTTAGCAACAACTGCAATATGTCCCTCCCACCCCATCCCACTCCACCCCCATAAAATAATTCAAGAACTTCATTCTTAGATGGATAGCCCTGTCAATTCATTTTCTCCAAGATCCCAGTCCAATAATATTTTGGCCCCACAGAAACCACAATCCACGGAATCTCACACATTATTACTATCCCTTATCTACTCCTGTTTTCATTTCCACACTTACACATCTTGGATTCCAAGTCATCATTATAATCACTCCTTACAAATATGTTCACTGTCCTTGTCCTCTCTGACACTGCCAAATTTCAACCCTGATTTTATATCCAATTTTTCACCAATCCTTTCTTCAAGCTGCTAAAGAAAGAGAAAGAAAGGAAGGGAGAGAGGGAAAAAGAGTAAGTAGTCATACTTCGAAATTTGTCTGTATTAAATAGGTCTTTAATGCTGCTTAGCCCAAGTCTAATAACTATTCCTTTATCCTAGCCAACTATCTCATACCTTCTTCTGTTCTATATATTCACACCACCACTTATTCATCTCATTCTCAGCCAATTACCTTGTTCCCTACATCACTATAATAGAAGCAATCAGAAGGTAACACTGATTTATTTGATACATTTCAGGAAAGGCAAGAAGCTGAATTAGCAGCAGGGGAAAGTAGTTGATATTAAAACACAGGTATGTGAGGACCAGAATGCCAATGATACATATTTTATCTTACAATACAGGTACCTTGACTTTCACCAAGGGAGAAGGAAATACACTGGGGGGTTTTGAGCCTAAGGCTGAAATGACCTGACATAGGTTTTGAAGTAAATGGCTTTCAACTCTACGTCGTTAAAAAAAAAACTAACACAGAGCAAGGAAGACCATTTGGGGAGTTTACCGAAATAATCCAGAGCAAGAGGATGGCTTAGTTCAGGTTGGAAGCAGCAGAGTGGTGAAAAGTGGTAAGAGTTTGGGTATAATCTGAAGGCAGTGTCAACAAAATTTTCTGATGTTCCGAGTATGGGATGTGAAAGAAAGACATCAAATTTCAGTGTCATGAACTAGAAGGATGAAGCTGCTTTTAACTTGGGATTCAAGTTTGGACAGAGGGAAGAAAATGTTTTGGTTTTAGATGGTTAAGTTTCAGATGTCTTATGTTGAACAGAAAGCTGAATATCTATATCTAGAATTAAAGGAAGTGATCCTGCTGAAGACATATGGTAAAAACATGACCACAGATGTGATCTCCTTAATTAAGTCCTATTGCACACAGACATTTAGAGGTCAAGGAACTGAGGAGGAACTAGCAAATAATATCAAGAAAAAAGGACCAGTGAGGTATAAGTAAAACCAGAATACTGTCATGTAATTCATAAGAAACCAAATGAATAATTTATTATTTCAAAGAGGAGGAATTGATTCACTTTGTCAAGTGCTACTAAAAGGTGAAGACTAAAAAATGCCCATTGAATTGAGCAACATGCAGGTCACTGACAGGTTTAATAGGAGAAGTTTTGTTGAAGTAATGAGGGCGAAAGCTGGTGGTAGGAACATGTGGAAATTCTCTTAGAAAATAGGAGGCAAGGTCAGTATTTGAGGTTAAGAACAGGTGAAGTATTAGAGATTGGGGAAAAGAATCCAAATTCTTTATTTGCCTTCATAATTTAAAGCAATATCAAATATATGCCAACACAAAAAAAATTTCAATTTTTCAAATCTACCAAGTATGAATTATAAAGAGATACATAAAGTTCTTGATACAGCCATTGCTTCTAAAGGCAATAATTTATCAAGTCATAATAGATGACACAGAAGAATAAAAAATAATTTATAACCACAAGGAGCACAGCTGACCAGAGTCACTGCTGGTAGGCTCCCCAAGGAGTGCTTCCAGTAATGATGTGATCACAGGAAGGCTAATTCAGGTGCAAAGAATTTCTCTGACAGTAAATTTGGCTCAAAGACTCCCCAGAAGCCTTGCCAAACGCTCTTTAGAACTGCAGTGCTACTTAATACATTTCTATCCAACCTTCCTATCTCCTTCAAGGTCAGACTTGTATCACGGTTAAATAGCCCTTTTACCCTCTTTTGGCTCCCTTTTCCATTTCCTCTAACAGGTATTCCTCCTAGTTCATTTCTCGAATGTTTGATCTCATCTGGGCAGCTACTTTTCAGAGAAACCAAATTAATACAACGGAAATTTTTTAAATTTAATTAAATATCTAGAAACTAAACCTGTGTCCCTGAAAATCAGAAGGGCGCTTTTATAGGACGCTTCTAATTATGCCAACAAACACAAAATTACTGAATACAGCAAAGCCTCAAGACAGAAGGTTATAAAAAGGAGAATATATATAATTGTTCCCATCCTCTGCCCTGCTCTTATTCTCTGAAAGTAGCAAACTGAAGTCCTTTAGAGAGCAACATAGGAAATATGGAGCACAAGATCATGTGCAACTTCTCACTTCCATTAAGGATCAAGCTGGATAAGGTTAAGTTTTACCATCTCTTCTTTTGTGCTTTTTCCAACAATACAAACTAAAAAACATTTTCATAAACTTTAAAATAACATACTGTAATTTAATGCAAGTAAAATTTTTTATTTATCATATTGTAGCAATATGCATATATGCTAAGAAAGTGTTTGAAGTCAAAGTTAGAATTCTATTGGTATGTGTATTTAGCTCATTAAAAATAAGCTAAAACTCTAAATCAAAAAAGTAAATTTGCTAGTGAAAGTTATTTGCTTTTTGGATAGGAAGAAATAAAATTGTATCTTTTGTATGCCATGATCTTACATGCGGGAAGCCCTAAAAATTCCATAAAATACACTTAGAATTTATAAATCAGCAAAGTTTGAAAGTACAGAATTATCATGCAAAAAAAAGTTCCATTTCTATACACTAATACTGAACATTCCAAAGAGAAAATTAAGAAAACAATTCATTTGTAATATCACTGAAAAGAGTAAAATACTCTGGGAAAAAACTTAACCCAGAAGATAGAAGACTTGTACACTGAAAATTTCAAAACACTGCTGAAAGAAATTGAAGAAGACATAAATTTGAAGACATTTGTATTCTTGGAAGACATAAGATGTCAATATTATCCAAAGTGATTTACAGATTCAGTGTAATTTTTAGCAGAATCCCAATGATGCTTTTTTCCAGAAAAGAAAAATCCATCCCCAAACTCATATGGATTCTTAAGCATCTTGGATATACAAACCCATCTTTTTTTTTTTTTTTTTGGGGGGGGGAGTATGAGGGATTGAATTCAAGGACACTCAACCACTGAGCCACATCCCCAGCCTTATTTTATATTTAATTTAGAGACGGGGTTTCACCTACTTGCTTAGTTCCTAACTTTTTGCTGAGACTGGCTTTGAACTCGTGAATCTCAGCCTCCTGAGCCACTGGGATTATAGGCATGTGCCACCACACCCAGCAAACACACCAATCTTGAAACAAAAACAAAGTCGAAGGGCTCACATTTCAAAAGTGGGTTTTGGCATAAAGACAGACATATATGGATAACCATTTGTTTAAAAGGCTGTCTTTTCTCCAGTGTAAGTGTGTGGCACCTTGTCAAGAATCAGAGGACTGTATCTGTATGTGTATTTCTATCTTCCATTCTGTACCATTGGTCTGTGTGTCTATTTTTATGCCAGCACCTGCAATATGCAGTCTTGGTTACTTGAGCTCTTAGTTATGATTTGAAATAAGATATTGTAATGAGTCCAGCATTGCTTTTTGGCTCAGAATTGCTTTGGCTATCTTTTTAAAAATATTTTTTAGTTGTAGTTGACACAATACCTTTATTTTATTTATTTATTTATTTATTTATTTATTTATTTATTTATTTATTTATTTATTTATATGTGGCGCTGAGGATCCAACCCAGGGCATCACATGTGCTAGACGAGCACTCTACCGCTGAGCCACAACCTCAGCCCCTGCTTTGGCTATTCTTTCAAATTAATTTTATACAAAGCAATAAAAGAGCCTAGAATAGGGCTAGGGTTATGGCTCAGCAGTAGAGCGCTTGCCTAGCATGTGCAAGACCCTGGGTTCAATCCTCAGCATCATGTAAAAATAAATAAAATAAAGATATTGTGTCCAACTACAACTAAAAAATATTTTTTTAAAAAAAGAGCCTAGGATCAACCCTCCCATATGAGATAAAATGATTTTGAAGAACTATGCCTAAACCATTAAGTGGGACAAAGGGACAGTCTTTTCAGCAAAAGAATAAAGACAGAAAATAAAGTGAAAATGGACATCTTTGTCTTCCAGATTTTTAAAGAAAACGCTTCCAGTTTTTCCCCATTTCCTGTGAGGCTGGCTTTGGATATTTTCCTGTATAGCCTCTATGATACTGAGGTAGGTGGTTCTTCTTTCCCAAGCTTCATCAGTGTTTTTATCATGAATAGGTCTGAATTTTGTTAAAGGCTTTCTCTCCATCTATTGAGCTAAATGATTCTTGCTTTTCATTCTATTTATGTGATGAATTACATTTATTGATTTGCATGTGTTAAACCATCCTTGCATTACTGGGGTAAGACAAACTTGGTCATGATGTACAATCTTCTTACTCTGTTATTGAATATAATTTGCTAAATATTTTTTTAAGAATTTTTGCATCTATGTTCATCAGGGATACCGGTCCATAGTTTTCTTTCCTTGATGCGTCTGTCTTTATCTGGTTTTGGTATGATGATGATACTGGCTTCACAGAATTAATTTGGAAGTATTCCACCCTTTTTATTTTGTGGAATAATTTGAGGACCACAAGCATTACTTTTTTAATAGTCTGGTAGAATTCAGCTCAGAATCCATTTGATCCTGGGCTTTTCTTTTGGGGGGACTTGCATTAGTGCCTCTATCTCATTGCTAGTTATTGATACATTTAGGTTTTCTATGTTCTTTTGATTCAACTTTGGCAGTTTATGTGTGTCTAGAAATGTGTCTATTTCTACTAGGTTTTCCAAATTATTAGAGTCTAATTTTTAAAAATAGTCCCTAACAATTCTCTGGATTTCTATGATGTCTGTAGTAATTTCTTCTTTTTCATCTCTAATTTTCTGAGTTTCTCTTTCTACTTTTGGTTAGTTTTGCTAAGAGGCTACAATCTTGTTTTGTTGATTCTGTGTATTTTTTTTTTTAACTCTCAATTTTGTTGATTTTGGCTTTGATCTTAATTATTTTCTTTCATCTACTGTTTTTGAAACTGGTTTGTTCTTATTTTTCAAGGACCTTGAGATACATCATTAGGTTTTTCATTTGAGATCTTTCCAATTTTCTTCATAAGCACCGGCAGCTACAAACTTTTCTCTTAGAACAGTCTTCACTGTCCCAAAAACTATGGTTATATTTTATCACTGTTCTCATTTGAACCTAAAATTTAATAATTCCTTTCCTAATTTCTTCTATTACCAAGTCATCCTTCAAAAGTATACTGTTCAGTCAGCCACACTGGTACATGCCTGTAATCCCAGCATTTTAGGAGGCTGAGGCAGAAGGTCAGGAGTTCAAAGCCAGCCTCAGAAATTTAGCAAGGTCCTAAGCAACTCAGCAAAACCCTGTCTTAAAATAAAATATAAAATAAATTTTTAAAAATAAAAATTAAGGCTGGGGATGTGACACAGTGGTTAAGTGCAATCCTCAGTACCCCACCCCCAAAAAAGTGTACTGTTCAATCTCCATTATATATTTTCTGTGGGGTATTTTGGTGTCAGTTTTTAATTTCATTCCTTTATGATTTGACAAGATACAAGAATATATATCAAAAAATTTTTGAATTTGCAAAGAGTTACTTTGTTGCCTAAAATATGGTCTATTTTGGATAATATTATATGGGCCGCTGAGAACAAAGTGTACTCATTGTTGGATGAAATATTCTACAGATGTTGGTTAAATCTATTGGTTTAGAATATTTTTCAGACCCAATGAGTCTTTACAGAGTTTATGTCTGGATGACCTACCAACTGGTACTAGAAGTGTGTTGAAATCACCCAGTATTACTGTACTGGGGTCTATCTGAGGCTTTCATTCAAGTAGTGTCTCTTTTATGTAAGTGCACCCTCATTCGGGGCATAAATATTTACTACTTTTATACGTTCTTGTTGGATTGTTCCATTTATTAGTATGAGGTAACCTTCTTTGTCACATCTAATTTTGGTTTTTACTCTGCTTTGTCAGATATGAGAGCAGCTACCCCTGCTTGTTTATGGGCTCCATTCAGACTGTATCAATTCCCATTTATGGGCTCTCTGCCCATAAGGTGATTCTCTTACAAACAACATATATTTATTTAGGTCTTGTTTTATAATCCATTCTGGCAGCCCATGTCTTTTAATTGGAGAATTGAGACCATTTACATTCCATGATGTTACAGAGATAATGTTTATTTATTCCTCCCTTTTTTATTTACTTCTCATATTTATTTTGGTCCTGTCTTATTTGCTTACCTATTCCTCAAACAAGATTTGTTCATTTGTGAGCTCTGGGATTTGTTTTTTATTTCTTCTGTGTGGAGTATTTAATTAAGTTCCCTAGTGCCCACTTAGTAGTCATGAATTCTTTTAGTTTCCACTTATCTTGGGAGGTTATTTTCCCCTTCCTTTTTTTTTTTTTTTTTTTGAGAGAGAGAGAAATTTTTTTAATATTTATTTTTTAATTTTCAGTGGACACAACATCTTTGTTTGTATGTGGTGCTGAGGATCTAACCCGGGCCGCACGCATGCCAGGCGAGCGCACTACCGCTTGAGCCACATCCCCAGCCCATCTTTCCATTTTCAAGGACAGCTTTGCTAGACACAGCAATCTTGATTGACAGCTATTTTCATTCAGGATTTGAAACACATCATTCCAAGTCTTCCTAGATTTTGGTTTGTACTGAAAAATCACAAGTAATTCTGATTGGCTTGCCTCTGAATGCGATCTGAGATTTTTTTCTCTTGATGCTCTTAAATTCTATCCTTGTTCTATGTGTTAGGCATTTTAATTATAAAGGATCAGAGAGAGATTCTTTTTATTATCTTATCTATCTGGGGTTCTGAATTCTTATGTGTCTGGATGTCCATCTCATTCTCAAGGTTTGGAAATTTTTTTGTTAGCATTTCCCTGAAGAGGTTATCCATTCCATTACCCTATATCTCACAACCCTCTTCAATTTCAATGATTCTTAAATTTGGTCTCAATGTTCCCAGAGCTCTTGTACATGCTCATCAGAACCATTTTTTCTTTAAAAGTGTCTGAATATTCAGGGCCACTTTGACTAACAGCTGTGATTCTGTCTGTAGTGTGGTCTACTTTTGTTAGACTTTCAACTTAACATTTTATTTATTGTTTCTCATTTCCAAGATTTTGGTTTAGTTCTTTTTTAATATCTCTTATTTTCTTTTCAAATTTCTCGTTCATATCCTGTCCTGACTTCCTTAATTTATTCATTTTTTTCTGTGTCCTTTTGGAATTCATTTATCATTTTTATAACCATCCTTTTGAACTCTTTATCTGATATTTCATCTGCTTCACTATCTTTGTGGTCCATTGCTGGTGAATTATAAACTTAGAAAGGAGTACTGTTGGCTTGTTTTTTCTATATCTTATTTACCTGTATTGAGTTTTATTCATCAATAAAGATGAATTACTCTTCCACTCTTATATGTGAGTGTTTTTAGGGCACAGCCAACTCTTGCCAAAGTGTCCTAGATATCACTCATGTGGGATATCCACAGCCTTTGTGTTAATTCTGTAGGACCCACCCTTAGCCACTCCTACTTTGGACTGGGTCATCAGTTTGGGATTTTGTCTCTTCTGTTCTTTGTATTAAAATATAGCTGAAGATTACTGTTAATGTGTATGAAGCAAAGTATACTTTTAGGTGAGTTTCTACCCTGTGAACTTGTAATGTACCTATGGTTCCCAGCACCTGTTCATATACTCTCCCCATTACAAGTCACTGAGCTACATTTCCTTGTGCTTCAGAGGTCCAAGCTCAGAGTACCAGGAGAAATCCTGATTAGTGAAGTCAAGTCCAAGTCCAAATTGGTTGGAGCTCCCTGAACTCCAGTCCTGCTTCTGCACCTCAATATTACTGGGCCTGCTGCTGCCACCTCAGGGTGGTTTTAAATATCAAAAATTTTAAAACCCTTATTTTGTATGCTTCTAAAATAAATGAATTCACTGAAGGTCTCTTCTCCAAACACTCTAAGTATAATTTATGCAGTGCATTTTTTAAGTATATATTTTCTTACTGCAAACTATATCAACATGCAAAAGAATGTATGCAATGAATATGTTGTTTCTACTACAAAAGTATTTATTTCATTTAACATTAAAACACCACCAAGCACAGTGGCCCACACCTATATTCCTAGCTATTTGGGAAGTTGAGAAAGGATTGCAAATCTGAGACCAGCTTCAGCAATTTAGCAAAATCCTCCCAAAATAAAAAAATAGGCCTAGGAACATAGCTCAGTGATAAGAGTACCTTGGATTCAACCCCATTAAAGCCTAAGCAAGGTAGGGTGAGGATTGAAGAAAAAAAAAAAATACTAATGTTAACGCCATTATTTATTTGAGCATTTTCTTCTTTGAATTAAAATACTAGCTTGAATTCAACATTTTCAAGTTGAGAATACTTAGTAAGTCCTTTTTATAAAAATCTATGAAACTAAAACAAATTTTATTAATATATAAAATTACATGTGTGTGTGAATACACACCTATATATTCAAAATTAAAATATAGCCCAGAACAGTGGTACACACATAAAATCCCAGCTACTTGGGAGACTGAGGCAAGAAGATTACAACTTATCAAGATCCTGTCTGAAAACAAAAAAAAATAAAAAGGACTGGGGACGTGGTTCAATGGTAGATGTTCCTGGGTTCAAAATAAATTACTTATAAAAAAATAAAATAAGGTTGGAGTTTTGGCTCAGTGGTAGCACACTTGCCTAGCATGTGTGAGGCACTGGTTCAATTCTCAGCACCACATATAAATAAATAAATTAAATAAAGGTCCATCAACAACTAAAAATGGCAAATATAAAAATTTGAATCACAGATTTTCTTTGACCTTTTCTAAAGTACACTCTTTGATGAAAAGTGCCCCTAACATAACATTCATTATACCTACTCTTGAGTTTTCCAGCTACTGACAAACTGTCCAAAGAGAACAGTGAAAAGATAGTTAAAAGCTAACACCACATATTTTCTTCTGATGCTTTATTATTCTTCAAGTGACCCCATCTCTTGCATAACTTTTGAGTCAATCTTTTGACTAGTTCTTCATTTCCTTCACTGGGACTAAAAACTTTTTACTAACAGAGCTGTAGCTTTTATTTCAAAAAAGCACTTTGGCTTGGTTCGTATCTCCTTTAGGTTCATCATTTTGAAATGGAAATTCCAACACCTATTATATCATTTTCTGTATTTTCATGTTTATATTCTTATTCAGAAAGTTCCTGAATTAAATTAGGAATTATTCTGCTATAGTTACACTTTATCCATTATTATTATTCTTGAAAAATTATGAAATGATAAAACAGTGACCTTTTTAAATCTGAAATTCTATTAACTATATGAACACATCAAGATACAAATTATTCAAATTTCTTAAATTCCAAAATAACTGTATTATACCAACAAAAACAGTGGTTCAACAGTGCATTAAAATAGGCATAGCAAGTAGGATCAAACATCAGTACATCAATACTACATAAGAATATTATGTTGTTTTCATACATTTTAAACTCCAAGATTAAATGAAATGTAAATAAAACATTTAAAATAATAGCCACTGGTGGCTATTATTCATTCATTCATTTAAATCAACAATGTAATAACTACTAAGCTTGGCAGTAGTCTTAACATGTAAGTGAAAACACAATGAGGAGTAATACCATTAATTAAATAATCACAACCTCTAATCAACAATTTTTAACAGTCAGATTAGTATATTTCAAGCTCGTACAATATACAGGTTATAGGTTATATGTCTTTGAGCAAACTCAACTTATAAGAGTTGTATCAGGGCTGGGGATATAGCTCAGTTGGTAAAATGCTTCCCTCGAATGTACAAGGCCCTGGGTTCAATTCCCAGCACCCAAAAAAAAAAAAAATGAGTTGGATTCACATAAAAGTTAAATTACAAGGTATTTTCTAGAGTCCTTGAAAATAGTATTCACTTTTAGCATAATAACAATTTGACTGATCCAAAATAAATTTACATACTATCAGAACATATGTGTTGTATGAAGATCTACACCTGTGTATTATCTAATGGCTTTCTTAATTCTATAATCTATGAGAATACCTATATAATCCACATTGATGATTCATCTTCTCACCTGACCCTCTCATTTCATAGTTCTTTTTAATTTGGGGATCCTACTGAATTTCATTTGTTCACATTAGCCTCTCTTATTCAGCACTGCTCTGATACCAAAGATCTCAAACTTGAATAATAAGTTAGGGGTAAAGCCAGGACTAGAATTTAGGATTAATAACTGTAAATCTAGTTTTATGTTATACTCTTTAGTCCTTGTTCAGAATCTCTAGTTATTTGCTTTCATGGTTGTCCTTGCTACCTGCCACCAGGAACCATTTCCTGCCACTAGGTTCCTCTGCTCTTATACGAATGAGCAAGATAGTACAGTTGTCAGCTTCCACTCCCATTTTCCCAGGAGAAATACAGTCTAAGACCCTCAATGCATGCCTGAAATCTTGCTTTGGATAATACCAAATCCTTCAGGAGGTGAGGCAAGAGACTCTCAAGTTCCAGGCCAGCCTCAGCAACATAGGGAGACCCTCAGCAACTTAGCAAGACCCTATATCAAAATAAAAAATGTCTGTGTTCAATCCCTAGCATCAAATTAAAAAAAAAAATCTTATGTACTCTGTTTTTTATACAAATACATACTTAAGTTTAATTGATAAAACAACAGTATACCACAATAAAAATGATGTAAAAGTGGTCTCAGTCTCTTTCTCTGAAAATATCTTCTTGTACTATAGATCTTATCAACCTCAGGACACCATTCTTTTCCTTTCCTCAAGTCAAAAATTTTCACTCTCTTAAAGAAGCAATTTAGAGCTTCTCCTTAGCATATCTGAACCGCCAGCATTACTACTTTAGCCAAGTGTTCTGTCACCGAGGTACTCACCCTGCCTTTTTTATTTTGAGACAGGGTCTCACTGAGTTGCAAGCCTGCACCAAACTCACAATCCTCTCACCTCAGCTTCCGGAGTAGGTGAAATTATAGGTTTGCGCCATTATGCCTGGTGGAGCAAATTACTACTCTTGTGCTTTAACAGAACATAAGCACTGCAATACTGAGATGGTCGATTTGATAATCAAAACAGCAAGTAACTATGGGTGGGTAACATATACAGTGTGGATACACTGGACAAAAGAATGATTTGTCTCTCTGCCCTGTGAGGAGAAAACAGGATGGCACAAGACTTCATCAAGCTACTTAGAACAGCACATGATTTAAAAGTTGTAATTATTTACTTCTGAAATTTTTCATTTAGTATTTTCAAACTGCAGCTGACCATGGGTAACTAAAATTACAGAAAACAAAACCACAGAAAATGAGGGACTACTGTATCATCCCCATGGAACTGACATTTGAAACCTGAGACCAGAAAACACAGAAGCCCTGGGATCAATCCCCAGTTCAAAAAAAAAGAAAAAACAGAGAACATAATTAGCAAAACGCAGAGTCAAGAGCAGAGCTAGTCTTTCTGTACATGCCTTCATATTTTTAACATGAAAATTTTCTAGAACAGAGTTAAGCATCCCTTTGTCTAATCTCTCTTTGATTTCCTGGCTTTCTTCTCCATTGAGTTTATGTTCTTTTTTACTCCAGTCTGCCTTTCCCTTTTCTTTCCCCACCATCACCTGCAAGTAACCCAGCCTTTTAAATTTGTTTTATAATTTTGAGCAGGGTCTCACTAACTGACCCAGCCTGGCCTCAAACTTGCATTCCTCCTGCCTCAACCTCGGTAAAAATCTGGATTATAGGCATGTGTCGCCACAACTGGCCCCTTTTCCCATTTTTGAGATTCATAATCTTGGTAAATGTAAGTATTAAATCTAATCATAGACCTTCATTGCCAGCAGGTACTTCAAAGAGATTAAGCTATTTACCCAAAGTAACAGAGCTAATAGAGCTGAATCAAGGATCCAGAAGTTTTAATTAGTTTTTCCTGTTTTGATACTTCAAATCAGTTCACTTGGTAAACACTCTTTAGACTATCTTTATTATTTAGAAAAGCAAATGGGCTTCCTGGCTGTAATCTGAAAGATAATTAACTGTTGGTATATTCATGGCAATATATCCAAGGAATGATCTCATACTATTCTTACCGTATAATTATAGTTAAATATTGAGATAATCTTGTTATATCTATTATATGCTCTATTATATTGTGCTGCATTATATTTTGGAATAAGCAGAGTTGACCCATATAGAATTTTATGGTTTATTTTCACAAGTAGTATTGAACTATCTTAATATTTAGAATTAAATTATGATTAATAAATTTTAAAAATTTTTATATAATACTAATGTTAATACCAGTATTTATTTGAGCATTTTCTTTTCATAGTTGTTTTTTTTTTTTTTGCAATCCTCACCCTGCCCTACCCAGGCTTTAGTGAGGTTGAACCCAGGGTACTCTATCACTGAGTACATTACTAGGCCTTTTAAAAATAAAATATAATAATTATTGCCTGCATTCACAATCATTTTATAAAACAAACTACAACCAGCTTCTCACCAAGGGAAGACAATCTCAAAAGTCCTTTAATTAAAATACTTGCTTTAATTCAATATTTTCAAGTTTTGAGAATTCTCAATAACTCCTTTTTATAAAAATCTATGAAACTGAAACAAATTTTATTAATATACACAAAATTATATGTGTGGGGGTGTGAATACAAAATTAAAACATAGCCCAGCACAGTGGCACACACCTAAAATTCCAGCTACTTGGGAGACTGAGGCAAGAAGATGACAACTTATCAAGATCCTGTCTCAAAACAAAAAAATTAAAAGGACTGGGGATATGGTTCAGTGGCAGAGTGCTCCTGCGTTTAAAAAAATTATTTATAAAAAATAAAATGGTGGGGACGCTGGGGTGTGACTCAGCAGTAGAGCACTCGTCTATCACAGGCAGGGAACTGTATTCGATCCTCAGCACCACATAAAAATAAAGGTACTGTGTCTAACTACAACTAAAAGAAAATATTTTTTTAATAAGTAAATAAATAAAATGGGGCTGGGGATATAGTTCAGTTGGTAGAGTGCTTTCCTCGAATGCACAAGGCCTTGGGTTCAATCCCCAGCACCACAATAAATAAATAAAATGGGACTGGGTTGTAGCTCAATGGTAGAACACTTGCCTAGCATGTGTGAGGGAGTGGGTTCAATTCTCAGCACCACATATAATATGGTCCAAAAACTGGTAAATATAAACATAAAAATGTGAAACACACATGATTATTGTAACACTGCTTTTGACATTTTCTAAAGTGCACTCTTCAATGAAAAGAGCCCCTAACATAACATTCATTATACCTATTCTGAGTTTTCCACCTACTGACAAACTGTCCAAAGAGAACAGTGAGAAGATAGTTAAAAGCTAACATCACATATATGGTGATGCCCTGTTCAATAGAAGGTTCTGTGCCAGCCACAGAGCTATTCAGTTCTTGTCCTGGAGATTCAAGTGCCAGCTGCTGGGGGCGGGGGGAGGTAGAAGGTTATGGGCACAAGCTGATAATCATAACTGGATTGCTCATACTTATGGCCTTGGTTTTGCTGGACTTGAAGAAACTTTCTCACAATAAATCCCTTTGATGTTTAAATCTATATAATAAACATACTGAGCTAGCTCTGGTGTCAGTTTCCCCCCATCAGGGGTTGGCTGAATGGCCTGGACCCAGCCTTTTCTCTATTTATATGCCTGTCTTTTCTCTATCCCCTCACCTCCCCCACCGGTTACCTAAATCAACAACCATACAGGTCATGAGAGAGTAGTATCCAACAAATGGCTGCCTGCTGCTTTTAGCCAAAAACAAAACAACAAAAAATGCACACATGAACATCTGGAGTCTAATTACTTATATGGAAATTTAAGTTTGTTCTACACAAAGAAATGCTGAGATTATATGTTATAAAGGAACACTTAAAAAGGGGTAAACTTCAACTCCTTATTGGTTACATGCTCCTTCCCCTACAGAATTTATCAACATTGTTTCCATGATAACACAAGTAAGACTAATACATAGTGCATTGGTCAAAGTAATCAGGATTCATTTTTCCTTATTATTTGCCCTTACATTAATTAAAAGATTTGAAATACAATCAGAAACATTATGTGCAAACTTGTTCAGGAGACTTAATCAGCTGCTTCCTTAAATTAGGAAGTTTTAGAATTAAAAGACCCTTAGAGACCCAACTTGTAGGGCCCCCAGGGTCATCAGTAAGAAAGTACAAAGACACTTGAGAGCAAGTACACTTGCTAGGGCATAGTTCTGAGGCTACCTGTGTAGAAAGCAAAAAGACAGGCCAGCCAAATAAAACTGGGGAAACTGAACCCTAGAAAAACTGGCTGAGTTTGTAATTTGACCTGACAGTTGAATTGTCTACAGCAAGAGATTCTCGGACTTTTTAATTTCATAAACTAATACAATTTCAAAATTTTGAGGACTGATTATAAATGTTGATCTTGGTCTGGGGTTGTAGCTCAGTGGTAGAACACTTGCCTAGCACATATGAGGCACTGGGTTCAATCCTCAGCAACACTTAAAATAAATCAATAAAATAAAGGTATAGTGTCCATCTACAACTTAAAAAATATTTTTTAAAATGTTAATCTTGTGTTTGTTTTCACATTTTCCTTTTAAAAATAAAATACACTAATTATTGCCTTCATTCATCATCACTTTATAAAATAAACTAATGCAATCAGCCTCTCACCAAGGGGAAGACAATCTCTAAAAATAAAAGTCCTTTAAATCGATATCATTACTAGATTATTAAAATCTTCACCATATTTATTTATTTTCTCATTGTATGCAATATTGGTGAAGCACCTCTTGTTCAACCAACATTTGAGAATAAGTAACTGTCACAAGTATATCTTAAACAAGATTTCCAAACGCTAGTCGATCAAGATTCCCAAACATTTATCTTTTAGCTAAGAAGCACCATAGGATGCTTTAAAAAAAATCTCATCTCAGACCCACTGACTCAATCTCTAAGGTGCCAAGTTTTTGATGTAAAGTTGGGCTTTATGGACGCTGGATGATGATAACAGTAATAAATATATGATATAAATAAAATCTTTTGTACAATTAAAGCAATTCTTGGTAGTAATAATGTCCAATCATGTCTGTTGTAACAAAAGTTACAGGTAGTAATCTGCTGTCATTTGAATATCATCTGAGTGCCCCTTAAGGGTTCGCTCTCCAGCGGGAGTGGTATTATTGTTAGGTCATTGGGGACATTCTCTGTAAGGGAACTACAGGATGCTGCCCATCCTCACTTTGCTTCCTGGATGGAAATGTGACCACTCATTCTAACACACACTCCTGCCATTGCCATCCATGCACAGCCCTCATCAGGGCCTGCTGATTTTGGATTTGAACCTCCAACACTATGAGCTAAATAAACTTCTCTTTACTACCTTCTAACTAAGTGTACAGGTACTACATCATAGTAACACAAGCTGATCAATACAAAGTACTTGTTTTTTCTTTTTTTACCTTTATTTTATTTTTGCTTTTAAATGTGGTACCAGTGCCTCAGGCATGCTAGGCAAATACTCTACCACTAAGCCACAACATCTGCCCCTACAAAGTACTTTTGAGAAATCAAGTGAAATGTTTGTTGGATATGTTTGGTAAGAATCCCACCAAAAGTGGAGTATACTAAGAACAATAGTTTTCCAGGAGAATCAGAAGAATTTGACAAAGGTACTAGGGCCCCAGTTCTCCAAGGGGATTAAAACATTAGACACAGGCAAGATGATCAGGAAGAAACTAAGGCAAAAACCTGGGGTTTTAACAGGTACGACCCAGGACATAAATAAATGTGGTTAGTTGGGTTTACCAACTATTATAGCAAATACCAGTATGAATAATGTGATTTATTTTAAGGCCAATGATTTTAAAACTAGTAAGGATTAGCTAAGAAAGTGACTTAAACAGTATGGGGAAAGCGAATTGGGGATATATCTCAGTTGGAAGAGTGCTTGCCTAGCATGCACAAGCCCTGGGTTCAATCCCAGCACCATCACCACCACTCAAAAAAAAAAAAAAAAAAAAACTCCTTTCCCAACAGTATTGGAGCATAATTAATATTCACTAAATATATTTTGATTAGTCAATTTTTGCCTTAAATTTTTTAAATTTTCTTCCATGCTTGAAAAAGGTTCTGGGTTTTGGGGAAATACACATAATTTAAAATAGGATAGGGTAATACGTTTAATGTATCACACACATACTGTGGGAGGCCATCCTCGAACGTGATTTGAGTTACCTCCCTAGCTGGGTGAGAGGCGCTTAGACACTGCTGTTAGAGCCTTCCCCACCCTTTCCCAGGTCCAAGGGCTTGTCCATGCAGAGGCATGTCTGGCCACTGCCCCAAAGACCCAATTGTCGCCCCTGACCTTGGGATGCTGCCCCCTTAACCTTCATTGGATGGGATTTTCCCCGGAAGTTTTGGTTCCCCAATAAAAGCCCACTCCCTGGCGTGTTTTCTCTCTCTCTCTAGTCTCTTCGTAAACCCTGCCACCGCATTAGGTGGCTGGAGGCGGGAGCTAGGAGAAGCCCTCTCGGAGTTGGTATTAAAGGTAATTAGAGTCTTGTCTCTTTAATTTAAAACTCCCTAGCAATTACTTATGAACTGAACCTTCTTTCATGAAGCCAGCGCTGGTCGCGTGGCAGAAGACACAATCTCATCACAGGAACCTTTTCCTTAGACAAAACATTAAGAAAAGTAAGCAATAACACAGTTCTTTTTCTCAATTATCAGAAACTGTAGAAGAGAACAGTATTATTTATTTTTTTTAAGTTCCTAATAGTTGACTCTGAAACACAGTTAACATTAATTTTTTTGCAGATTTACTCTCCAAATGTTTTTCTTTGATTGATGTCTACATTAGTTTGTACTTCTTCCATTTACACCTGTTATTTTGTGGGACCTGGCTGGCAGATGGTTAGTACAGGATTAAACATTTACTATCAGCAATCTCCATAGTAGACAGCACAGCAGAGGTATTGGATCCAGACTATTTGAGTTTGAATTCCAAACTTACCTCTACCCAGCTCTTAGACTTCCTCAAATTACTTAGTCTCTGTCTTATTCTTTCCATCTGCCTGAGTTTTTATAAAAAGTAAAGTATTACTTCTAAAAGGTATATGTTACTTTATCAAGTACTGACTGGTTTCACAGAAATTTTTTACTTTTTTAATTGAATATTTCTTAATTCCTATGAAAATATCACATAAGTGATACAACAAGTTGTATCAAACACTTCAACATATCAAAAATCCTGATTGTTTTAAACAAACTTTGAAAGAACTTTTTTTTTTTTTTTAAAGGTGCCATATATCCCAACTCTTTTTGAAGTTAATATAAACATGCTACTAGATAAGATTAATAGTATGAAAAGCAAAAAACTGGGCTGGAGTTGTGGCTCAGTGGTAGAGCACTCACCTAGCACGTGTGAGGCCCTGGGTTCAATACTCAGCACCACATAAAAATAAAATAAAAATACTGTGTCCATCTACAACTAAAAAATAAAATTTTAAAAAGAAAAGAAAAAACTGTCATGGCCCTAAACATCTGTATATGTTGTTACTAGATATGACAAAAGTACAAGGCCCTGACTATTCTTACAGGAACCAGTTGACATCTTTTTTCTTTCTTTCTTCTTTTTTCTTTTTCCTTTTTCAAAATGGAGTCCCCACTATGTATTTGTCCAGCTACCATCATTTACTGGACAAAAATACACATCAATTTTAATAGGTCTCACTTGCAAATTTTTACCACAAACCTCTTCAGGGTTGCCCTTTGATCTGTACATGTTTCTAGTCTGTTCACTCTTTGTCTCGTAATGCCTATCTGCTACTTCCTCTTTCTCATGAAACCTCCGGTAAAACCTCTGAATTCTTCACCTTCATCTAGTAATACAGATTCTATTTTCACTGGAAAAATGGAATTCATCTGTAGATAATTCTCTCATATTCATGGTTTGAATTTTAAATGACTCCCAAATCCTGTATATTAAAGGCTTGGTCGCCAATTGGTGGCGCTATTAGAGTTTATGGAAGTACGTGAAGCCTGGTGGAAGAAAATTAGGTCATTTAGGGTGTGCCTTTGAAGGGATATTGAGACTTGGACCCCCTTCCTCTTTTTGTCTCATTTTTGCTTCCCCACTGCCAGAAGATGAGCAGTTCCCAATGCTCTGCAACCCCCACCATGAGGTACTACTTTGCTATACACCCAGAAGTAATGGGTCATCCATTCATGGGCTGAAACCTCTAAAAGCATGAAACAAAATAAACTTTGTCCTCTTTAAGTTGATAATCCCGTGTATGTGCCACAGCAAAGGAAAGCTAATACATTCATATTTCCACAATTAAATTAATCAACCTATACTCTGCATTCTTTTCAGTTATATTGATCTTTACTCCTAAGATCAATCCCTTATTTAGGCAATGAATCTCCTGCCCTTTTCTAGTACATTGCTTCTGAAATTATATCCTCTCCTGCCTCATCATCTTCCCTTTCCTCTAGACCTTTCTCATTCACAAACAGATCCTGTAACACCTTCCATGTCAGAAACTGCCTTCCCTGGCGCCCCATTCTAGCCCCATTTCTCTGCTTCCTTTATTACCAAATTCTTACGATGAAGCATCTTTCTGTACTTGCTCTACTTCTCATACCTCACATTTACTTTTATTTCTCACAGAGATTTTCTTCTATGTAAAAATCAAAATCTTCTACATAACTATCAAAAACGGGTAATTAACATGAAAACAATTCTACCACCTAATTCTACAACTTACTCCAGTTTTGTCAATTGGTCTAATAATGTCCAAGTCTAAAATGTTTCAATCGTTGTCATGGCTCTCTAATCTCCTTCAATGTGAAACAGCTCCTCTGTCTTTCCTTGTCTTTTTCATGGCCTTACCATTTTTGAAGATTACAAGCCAATCATTTTGCATAATGATCATCAACTTTAATTTGATACTTCCACATGATCTAGACTGTTTCTTGGGCCAGAAATGATGTGTCTTCTCACAGCATGGTAGCACATGATTTCAATTTGTCCCATTACTGATGATACTGATTGCCTAATAGGGTGTTAACTACCAACTTTCTCCAATGCAAAACTTTTTCACTTTGTGGTTAGCTTTGAGACTATGAAATATCTATTTCTTAATCAAAATTTCCATTTTTTATGTATTTATCTTTATAACTATGGACTCATGAGTTCCTATTTTATAGATTATCATTTATAACCATTCAGTTTGAGGCTCAAATTGGCCCACAGTTGGCCCTTTAAGATAGTGTGTGTTTTTGACATGTATCCATCATTCACTCTACACTTCCTTACTTTCTGGCACAAGATTCTGTATTTTAGATTCATCTTTTACATTCCCTGCACTAACCTAAGATCAGCTATTTTTCCAATATACTTTGGTTCCTTTTAGTGAATAAAGGTATTCAGAAGCCAAGATTTGAATGCTAGGTATGCTCGCTGCTGTTTGAAATCTGTAATTATTCCAAGGCTTTCTCAATGAACAGACCTAGGGTAGCACAAAGAAATACACATATCTATTTCAATATCCATTTCTATATATCAAAAATCATGAGTTTAGATTCCTCAACTATCCACATGATCTACTTATCTGAGAGAATTCTGAATTCAGTTTGCTTATTCTAAAATCAAAATGAATTTGTATGTGTCCTGGATATTTTAAAACATAAAATTTCCAACAATCAAATAATTAGGTGATCTATCAAAGGTATTTAAATTATATAAAGGATTAGAATTGATGAAGAAACAAAAATATAAGAGAATTAAAAACAGATAATATCTTCTTACATCTTTTAGCCTTCTAGGATAAAATATTTTAACCATAATATGCATTAATGCAAGATACAGGTATAATACAAGTATAGCAGCCATGTCTGAAGTAGAAATATAAATTGTTCAAATGAACCAAAATATTTACTCTCTGCCTAACTGCCTTTGTTGTTCAAGAATATGATCTCAATTTTAGAGTGTTCTCCTCCTTTTAATTCACTTACATAGACAGCATTCTTCCTTTACTTCCATGTGAGGAACAATAATATCTTTTTGTAAACTTAAAAAGGCCTAATTAGAGCTAGAAGAGCTTTACAGCATCAAATGCACAAGAAGTTTGCAGAATGAACATACAGAACGTATTGTTTTGTAGATTAACATCTTTTTCTACCATGTATTTAAGATAAAAACTTTGGTTAGTACTAATATAAATACATCTACATAGGTTGACATTTGCCTGTTGGTTTATATTTCAACAGATAATTCTGCAGTTTTTCCCCTATAAATACTGTGTAGTGAGACAGCATATTGTCCCATTTATACATGAGTCATTCATTCATCTATTTTCCATTTATTCACCCACGATACACTCACCCTGTATAATAATAAGCCATCTACTTCTCTGAACTTCCCTGCCATCACTTTACTTCCAAGCAACAATTAACTTATTTTGGAATACTGCAGTAGCCCCTTAACTGATCTCTCCATGCCTTTTCTAGTCATCCTCTAGTCACGTTGAAAAAAGATTGCTCTTTTCAATTCAAAATGATGTCAGGCAATACAGTACAATTATTAAGAAGAGTGATTCTGGATTCAGGTTTCTTAGATTTAAATCTAAACCCTACCATTTATTAGCTGTGTCACCTTGGAAAACCACTTAACCTCCACTTAACCTTTCTACCTCAGTTTTCTCATCTGTAAAATGGTGATGTCAATGTGTATCTTAATTAATTTAATTCTTAAAATAATTAAATGAACTAACATAGTAAGTGTTCTATGAATGATGGTCTACCATTCATATTCACCTTCAATAATACATCTTTAGCCAGGCATGGTATCCTGTGCCTATAGTCCTGTCTACTTGCGAGGTTGAGGAGGAGATTATTTGAGCCATGAGTTCAAGACCACCGCAGGCAACCCAGAACCAGGCAGGGAGATCATAAATTCAAGGCCAGCCTGGACAACTTAGCAAGACCATGTCTCAAAATGAAAAATTAAAATATAACTGGGGGGCTGGGTTTGTGGCTCAATGGCAGAGCGCTCGCCTAGCACGTGCAAGGCCCTGGGTTCGATCCTCAGCACCACATAAAAATAAATAAATAAAGATATTGTGTCCAATTTTAAAAAATAAAATATATATATATATATATATATATATATATATATAAATAAATAAATAAACTGGGGATGTAGCTCAGTGGTAAAGCACCTGTGGGTTCAATCCCCAGTGAAAAAAGAACAAATGAACAAACAGAATTCAGTAAGGTAGCAAGACACAGAATTAATAGGTAGAAACTAATCATTTCCATGTGTAAGACTACCAATTAGAATTTCTGATTTAGCAATTATGTTCACAACTTAGAAACTAAAGTTAATAGCAGGAAACCTTATGAAACAGAATTTAATAAACAGAATAATTTAATAAACAAACAGAATAATTCAAATACTTAAAGCTGTTAATAATGCTTACTTTGTTATTTTGAAAGTATTCTTATATAAATTTTTTATGTATAACAAATTTTATCCTTTAAAAATATCTTTGAATTATTATGCCTTCTGCTTATTTATCTAACATTTCAATTTATGCAGAACATTTCTTCTAATGTGATGACTGGCCCAGAGTATTTCTTTATTGCATGTATGTGATATGTACATGAGTAGTGAAGATAGACTTGTTGTAATATTGTATTTTGCGTAATAAAACTGTTCCTCCCCACCACCACCATCAGAACATATAGGCATGATGAATCTTAAGGGCTTCTAAATGTTATGTTTTACTTTTTTCATTTCAAACTGTAACTCTATATATGTTGCACATCTTATATATGGCTTTACGTATATCATTCTAGGTATCTAGAGAAGTTTAAATGGGTAGAGGTTACTTCATATTATATTCATTTAAGAAAATACAAAATAGCAGAAACTCTCTAGTCCTCTACTGGAAATTACCAAGCCTTAGAATGCAGTCACCATTCTATGCCTCAGAGGAGACATATGTGCTGTTATCACTATTTTTTACAATATCTTTATTTATCTTTATGTGGTGCTGAGGATCAAACTCACACATGCTAGGCAAGCACTCTACCACTGAGCCACAATCCCAGCCCATTACTTTTTAACTTTTACTTCTCCAGCCTCCAAGATATGTATCTCCTACTTGGAAACAGAAGGTTCAGAGCAAGACATCAAAGAGAAGCTAGGTGTGAGAATGTGAACTGCTGTGGGGTGCTGGGGATGTAGTGAAGTGATAGAGCTATTGTCTAGCAAGAGCACAGCCCCGGGTTTAACCCCCCAATACTGCAAAAAGAAAAACAAAGAAGGCAAGAAAAGAAAAAGTGAACTGCTGTGGGGAGAGGCAGATAAAGCTGGAACTGGAAAGAGGTAGTTAGGGGACAAAAGTCTACATATTACCTAAGAATGAAGTCTAAAATCTTTAAGAATACCCTACAAGGGCCTGCCCATTACACCTCTAGCTTCATTTCACATCTCATATTATGTTCCAGGCATAATGACCTCTCATTAATTCTAAGAAATGATTTCATCATCAATTTGTATTTTTAAAATTCATATTTCCCACCCCAACCCCAGGCCTCCTAAATCAGAATCTCTGGGGGAGGGACCAGCAATCTGGTGGTTGTTGTTGTTGCGTCTAAAAGAATCAGGATATATGAAGAACCTTCCCAAGGTTCCGCATTCTCTGACTCCAACTAGGTACATCTATTATTAAGTCTCCACAGCTAGCACTCTGGACTTAGTTATAGTTTAACTTAGTACCTATCTTCTCTGCAGAATGGGAAGTTCCTTCTGAGCAAGACCATGCCTGTGGTCCTTACTGTCTGTTTCTCCAAAATCACACTCTACTTTTCATCAACACTTCTCTTGACCCCATACTGACGACATCAGTGGGTTCTCTGCCCTCTAACAACTCCTTGGGTTGGGTAAATGGGAAGCACAACAAAGATAAAAGTGAGGCCACTGTTTTTATTTCTCTGGCTCTGTCAGATAACTATAGAAACTACCAGGCTTCCTCTCTCAAAGCTACTCTTAGGAGCCTAGTAACTGTTTCCTTTCCTTGACCTTAAAGCCTAAGTAACAGCAACCCCACCTGTTAAGTATCTCTGAGGGTAATAATACACCATGTACTGCTGATTCCATTAATCAGACTCACACATTTATTTTTAAAAGTCTCTTCATTAACCATCCTTCAATTAGTCTGTTCAAAGATATGCTAAGCTCCGTAAAAGATTGTAGACAACGTGGCAATTACTTCAAGAGTTGGTAATGTATACCCTGTGTTAAGCACAGTGCTTCCTACAAAAGTTAAGTTTTCTATAAATGTTTTGAACATATGAATGACCCCCAAGAAGGGTTAAGAATTGCTGGGTAATATGGATCCAATAACAAAAATAAAAAACATCTTGGGAATCACACAAAACTTTGTTGAGTTTAGCTTTGCATAACAAAAGTTAACCTGTATTAGTTTTGTCTTCTGTAATACCATTTTACATATACCATCATTTACAGAGTTGGCATAAAAATAAATAAAAGAACATTTAGTAGACAATGTTCTAAATTATAGTCACCTCTGTTCCCTGAATTCAATTTTCAATTTTCTGGCAAGAATCATATAAAATGGCTCAAAAATCACTTCTCAATTACATAAAATTTTCCTTTAAATTGACTTATAAAGAATAAAACAAGGGCTGGGGTTATAGCTCAGTGGAAGAGCACTTGTCTAGCATGTGTGAGGCAGTGGGTTTGATTCTCAGCACCACATACAAATAAATACAATAAAGGCCCATCAATATTAAAAAAAAAAGAATAAAACAAGATAAAATAATTTTTGAGACAAGCAAAATGAAAAAAGACACAGACATCTAAGATGATCCAAAAATGAAACGGAGATTTTAAAAAACCTTATGCACCTGCTGACAATGAACCAGAATCTACAAAATAGCAAATGTAAACAGTCATAAGAAACACCATTTCCGTACAATAAGAGAGATGTAAAGAAGCCAGGCATGGTGGCACATGCCTGTAATCCCAAAGACTGGACAGGCTGAAACAAAAGGATCTCAAGTTCCAGGACAGCCTCCACAACTTAGGAACCTGTTTCAAAAAATAAAAAGGGCTGGGATGTGGCTTAGTGGTTAAGCACCTCTGGGTTCAATCCCCAGTACAAAAAAAAAAAAAAAAAGCTGAAATTTCTCTCACAGGTTTCATAGAGAACACCACAAATGCATGAGCAATAGTCTCAGCATCTTCTTTATGGTAAAACCTACAAATTATTAAGAACTTTTACCAATTTAAAAAAAAATGGGGGTGGGGAGTTACCAGGATTAAACTCAGGGCACTGAGCCACATCCCCAGCCCTATCTTGTATTTTATTTAGAGACAGGGTCTCACTGAGTTGCTTAGGGTCACTTTTGCTGAGGCTGGCTTTGAATGCACCATCCTCCTGTCTCAGCCTCCCAAGCCTCTGTGATTACAGATGTGTGCCACCTTTTAATGACCTCTTTGCATATATACTAATGGCTGGCTTCTCAACGAAAACAACTCAATGGACGTGCTGTAATGGACATAATAAAAACAAAGGCTCTGCATTTATAAGCTCTGCCACTTAATATGAAGTAGTTTTGGACAACATACTTAACCTATCAAAACCAATGAGACACTCCCCAAAAATGAGATACACTGTTTCAGATAGTTTTCAATAACTATTAATTATTAGTATTACTAAAAATCAACTATATTCAATAATTACTAGGTTATTATTGGTATTACTAAAATCAACTGTATTAAAATTTTGTTAGATTATTATCAACATTACTAAAAATCAACTTATTAGGAGATGAAATGGAATTTGGCTCAGTCTAACCATAAGGAGTTTTCTGATATGCTGGCTTGACATTAGTAAAGATTCTAAAGCATATAAAACAGTGGTTCTCTTGGGCTGGGGATATAGTTCAGTTGGTAGAGTGCTTGCCTTGCATGCAAAAGGCCCTAGGTTCAATCTCTAGCACCACAAAAAACAAACAATGGTTCTCAAACCTTCAATTAGCAATGAAGTTTACAAAACTACAAATAGCTGCTCATCCTATATCCCCTACTTAATGAATCAGAATATCCAAGCCAAACAGGCCAAATACCCAAAGGCAACTGACATGAGAGGGAGTTGTTGTTTAAAGTATATAAAACCCACATGATAAATCATAACTTCTGAACTACCCTAAGTTGAAAGAAGGAATCAATCAACAATTCACCCAAGCAAAAAACAATTACAACAAATAAAAAAGAACTAGTTGCTTAAAACTAATAAAGTCAAAAAATTGAGATAAAACAAAAATATGACTTTGATTAACAGAACAACTAACATCCTATTTACAATATATATGAATAAATAACAGTGCAGCATTTGTAATATTGCATTAGTAAAAAAGAATGATAGTATTGTCATTATTCTTAGTCTAGAACAAAAAAAAAAAAAACGACATAAAAAAAAAAAGGCTGTGGATGTGGAATGTGGGGGCCCAGTGGTTGAGCACCCCTGGGTCAATCTGGTACCAAAGAAAAAAAAATTTAATTATAATGTTTTAAATGTCTTTATCATTGATTTCTTTAATTAATTTCAGCTTTTAGATATATTTTTATCTACTTTGAGTTCCTTTTCTAAATTTTTTATTTGTGTTTTTCATTATTTTGCTTTTTAATTTCAGTTTTTTTCTTTTCTTAAATTTCAAGTATATCTTTTGGTCAGCTTTTTATTTATTTTTATTCTGCTGGATCATAAACAAGGTGGCTGGGGTGTGGCTCAGCGGTAAGGGCTTGCTTCCCACTGTGTGAGGCACTGGGTTCGATCCTCAGCACCACATTAAAAAAAAATAAATAAATCAACAAAATAAAAGCGTCGCGTCCATGTACAACTGAAAAAAATTTTTTTAAAGAAAAATAAATAATATTTACAATAACAATTCTAAAATAATAGGAACAAAGAACAGCCAAAATATGTTATGAGAATTAACAAAAATCTACAATAAAATTGATGTTTGAATTATGCTGAAGGTTTTCATTATTTTTAAATATTTCCTAAACTCCACCTTTCCTGGCTTTCTTCAGCTGAAACAACATATTGAACCTAACAACGTAAGAAAGCTTTCTACCTAGACAATAGCAATGGCTGCCATCATACACAGAAGCAAAAATGATAAACCAAATAAAACCAAATAGAACACCAGTTACCTGAAAGGTTTCTTTAAAAAAAGTAAAAGCATCCAGGCCAGTTCAGGCTGAGAAGGAAGACCACAGCGAGTCTCAGCAACTGTGAGGTGCTAAGCAACTCAGTGAGACCCTGCCTCTAAATAAAATACAAAATAGTGGCTCAGAGGTCAAGTGACCCC